GAGATAATAGACGTAAATCTATTAAATTTAATCTAAACAATTCTTTCTATAAAGTGAATATTTAAATATTTAATTCCTTAAAAACTATTGTCTTTAAATTATCTACTTTTAAACTTAAACCAACTGAAACATCACTTAATTATTCAATATTCTCATAACCATTTAATAATTAATCCCAATATTTTATTTTTTATTCTAAAATCTATATAATCATTGATTAGCATTTTTCTTGTAACATTTAACTTTATCTTATTTATTATAATTCTAATCTTCCTTAATGTTATTAGATTTGTTTTTTTATTCTTTTCTATATTATTTCAGAACAAAATCCTTCTAATATACTAAAATAAAGACTTTAAAATTCTTAATATATTTAAAACTATTTTATTTATATATAAGCTAGATTTTATTTATCATAAGTATAATAAAGAAACTAAATCTTATAAGTATGTAAATCTTCATCTTTATATTTCTCTTGTATTGATAATTATTCTATATATCTACTAAACATTATAAAAATATAATCATTAAATTATATATCAGATCTAAAATTTTTATTAGTCAATATTTAATATCTGGTTCTTAGAGTGTATAAAATCTTTACATGTGTAAAGTTATTATTTTTTTAATGATATTCATCTATAATTTATAGAATTAAAAATTTATTTAAATCTTTATCTTCTAAGTTTTACTCATATATTAATTTTAATAGCTTCTTTGTTATAACAGTTAAAAAAGGAATGTAAATTAAACAAAAATACAAGAACTCCATTTCAGTCCAGTAAATACTTAAACATTTAAATATAGAACAATAGAATAGTATTGATGATCCAATGCAATAATTCAGATTCATTTATTATGGGAATGGCTAGTTTAAAATTGAATCACATAATTGAATTAGGAATTAAATCAGTAGAAATATTGATTAATATATTTCATCAAAATAAGGAATTAATATCAAAGTTATTACCTCTGTTAAATTTACTAAGTAATTGTATGGACGATATCTTTTTGTAAAAGGGTTATTACTTGGTAATGCATAATTCCTTTAAATATATGTAAATATAGAGTAATTTAAAATAATAGGTATTATGCATATAATAACGGTGATTTAATTCTCATTTATGTATTATAATTAATGAATATGTATAAAAGATGGATACAGATATAACATTTGCAAATATGTAAAATATTAGTTTTGAAATTAATTGAAAAATCTCACCTAATTATTGTTAAATAGTGTGATCAAAGAAGATAACCAATGAACTACAGCAATTAAAATTACAATAAGAGATTCAAATGAATCCACCTCTATAGATTTGATTGGTGTCAAGAAGTGAAACCAATTGATTATGTTCTTTATTAGCATCAATTATTTATCCTAAATTGTAAAAATTGTAAATACTTAGTATATTTATCCATTAAATTGATCTACTCTTAATATAAGACTTAGTCTTGTTCCAACATACAGAATCCAAATAAAAAATGGATTCAAATAACTTTATGATTTTGATTCTCGAATAGTCACGTATAAAGTGCTTAATTTTTTTTTTATTATTATTGAATTCATTAATTTAATGAATATTCCATTGTTATACCTCTAATTTTAAAGAGCATTTATTAAATCATTTTGATTAACAATATAAAATTAACAATACTAAAATGATTAGGTTAAGATGTACTAAATTTCTATAATTTTTTGTATTAATTTTTAGAATTGGTTGTTTACTTAAGAAGTGTATAACTAATATATTAGTGATTAATTGATTATAATGTATATAAATGTACATTAAACAACTTGAATTCAACATCTTTTTTTAATAATTGTTGAAAGCTAAAGTTGTATTATTTTATATTTTATCCTTTATCTATATCATAATGTCTTTTAAATTAATCGATTAAAAATGATTTTATCTTAAGAAATATCATACTTTTAAGATAAAAATTTATATTTAATTATAAAAAAATTTAATACAATATTTTAAATTATTTCCAATTTTTTAGATTGATCGAAGAATTTTTACGAAAAAATTATTAAGATTTAATATTAATTTTAAATCAGATGGAATTTGCAACAGCACTAGTGTTCATTTTCATTGCATGTGCTTGTGGCATAATTTGGGCCATATTCAATTGGATTGCAGTGCACAAATTGGAAATCCATCATAAACATGAAGGATTAACAGAATTACTTTAGGGAGCTGAATAAGAAAAGATTGAGACCTTGCTTGAGATAGGAGAACACATATAAGATGTATTTGAATTAGTTTATTGTAGGGTGCCTAAGCATTTTTAAAAGAGGAATATACAGATTGCTCTATGTTTTTGGCTGTTATGGCTGCATTGTTGATTGTATGTTTATTTATCATAATCTTAGTTCATTTCACCATGGTCATCTTTGGCTTTTATTTTGGGAGCAGCAACATCAATGCTTTGTGGCTATTTAGGTATGGCAATTGCAACAGCAGCTAATTTTAGAACAGCATTTTCAGCAATCACATCATTAGCGAATGCGTTTTAAGTATATAAAAATTTTAAAATTTATAAGATGGCCTACAGAGGAGGATGTGTCATGGGTTTCTTATTAGTTTCGATATCACTTGCCATACTATCCCTTCTTATTATTATTTATAATGCGATAATTGTTAAGAGTGATGAAAACAATTATGAGGATTTAGTAAGAATGTTTGATTATGTTGCTGCTTATGGATTAGGTGGATCAACATTTGCTTTATTTGGTAGAGTAGGTGGTGGTATATATACAAAAGCTGCAGATGTTGGAGCAGATTTAGTCGGAAAGGTTGAGAAGAATTTACCAGAAGACAGTCCTAAAGTAAGATATTAAATTTAATATTTATAGAATCCAGCCACAATTGCTGATAATGTCGGTGATAATGTTGGTGATATTGCTGGAATGGGAGCTGATTTATTTGGATCATTTGCTGAATCTACTTGTGCTGCTTTAGTTGTGTCATCAACTTAATTAAGAGTTCAAACTGATACAGGTTATACTATAGAAATTGGATAATTAATGTATCCTTTAATGGTTTCAGCATTTGGAATTGGAATATGTATATTAGTATCTGCTTATGCTGTTTACATTTCAAAAGTAAATCATATTAACAAAATTGAATCTACTTTGAAATTTTAATTATTACTTTCAACTATTGCTCTATCTCCAATTATTATTGGTATTGCATATTGGGCTTTACCTCCTGATTTTGTAATGAGAGCTGCTGATGGTTCAGTTCTATTATCAGATCTAAAACCATATCATGCTTTCCTTTGTTCTTTACTAGGATTATGGTCAGGATTGTTGATTGGTTATTTTACTGAATACATGACTTCTCATTCTTATACTCCTGTAAGAGAAGTAGCCCAATCCTGTGGTACAGGAGCAGCTACAAATATTATCTATGGTCTTGCTTTGGGATATCTATCAACAATAGTTCCAATTATAGCTATTGCAGTAACTGCCTTTTTATCAATGAAAATGCTCTCATTTTATGGAGTTGCTTTAGCTGCCTTGGGAATGTTATCTAATTTAACAATTGGCTTAGCTATAGATGCATATGGACCAATCTCTGATAATGCTGGTGGTATTGCTGAAATGAGTGAATTGGGAGAAAATGTTAGAGAATATACTGATGCCTTAGATGCAGCTGGTAACACTACTGCAGCTATTGGTAAAGGATTTGCTATTGGATCAGCAGCTTTAGTATCTTTATCACTTTATGGTGGATATTTAACAAGAATATAGACTTACAAAGTAGGTGATGAATTCCCATTCTCAGAAGGTGCTAAAATAGATGATCCCATAATATTTGCTATGTTATTAATTGGTGCTATGTTACCATATGCATTTTCTGCTTTTACAATGAAATCAGTTGGAAAAGCTGCTCTTTAGATGGTTGAAGAAGTTCGTAGATAATTACATGAACATCCAGGAATATATGCAGGAACAGAGGAACCTGACTTTAGAGCTTGTATTGCAATCTCAACTAAAGCATCATTAAAAGAGATGATTCCCCCTGGATTACTTGTAAATTATTGAAATTATATCAATATAGGTTATTGTGACTCCTACTGCAGTAGGATTACTCTTTGGACCATATGCAGTTGCAGGATTATTACCAGGAGCATTAGTAAGTGGAGTACAAATGGCTATTTCTGCATCAAACACAGGAGGTGCATGGGATAATGCAAAGAAATACATAGAAGCTGGATTCTATAGAAATGAAGCAGGAGAAGTTAAAAAGAAAGGTTCAGATGAACATAAAGCAGCTGTTATTGGTAAATGAAATAAATTATTTTAGGTGATACTGTGGGAGATCCTCTCAAAGATACTTCAGGACCATCATTGAATATTTTAATTAAATTGATGGCTATCCTTTCGTTAGTATTGGCTGGAGCATTTTGTAGAACCGGATGGTTGTATTAAGGATGATCACATATGATTTGTTCAAAATAAATATCAACAATTATTTAATTTATGGTAAAGGATTCTAAACCTTTAAAAATATACTTAGAAGAAATAGAAGCAAAAATTAATTAAAAGATTATTAGTAATAATAATTCTGATGATAAATTTCTATATTAATTGATACTGAAAAATCAAAAAAAAATAAAATGATTAAAGGAATAGAAATAAAAAGAGCAATCATATCTAAAATTATTAGAATGCTCAGCTGATAATCTTGTTAAATTCTTAATCTATTCAATTTTTTTATGATAATTCTATTTTTAGATATTTGAAATATTTGTAAGAAATTAGGATAACATTTCCTAGTGTAGCAGAGTTTTATAAATTAAAAGAAAAACTTTCTGGTTAATTAAAATATTTATCTGCACTGATTCTGTATTATATTTATAACAATATTCATTTGATATACCTTAAGTTAAGATCATTTCTTAAAGCACTATATATGAGAGTAATTGGAAGATACCTGATTAAAATCAAAGAATTCGAAGCAGGAATCGCATTATCAATAGGATGATCTATGAATTTTATTACTGTTAATTGGACAGCAGATCCAGTAGACGATACAGTTTTAGATTATAATATCGTTTACTACTTAGGTTATGGTCTTAAGTTGATGGAAGGATTATTGAATTCTATAATATCTGGTAAAATTCAATCCTCTTTTTAATAAACTCTTAGAATTAGCAAAGGATGTCATATGAACAAGAATAAAAACGCAGGAAAAGATGTTAAATCATGTGAGTTAGTGCAGCCATTCAAGAAGTTGCAGAAAGTTATGAAGTTTAAATAGATGTTAAGGGCTAAAAATATCAAATCTATAAAAAAATTATATGAACATTAAATTAATACAAAATATATGAAGGAAAAATTTATCAAATAGTAAAGACAAATATAAAATTTGATGGAAAAAGGAAAGCTTTATATAATTAAGACTTTTGAATTCACTAGAAAAGGAATTTTTAATGAAGAATGCTCTCACTTAATCAAAGATTTCTATTTTTAATACATATTGTCAAGAACTCAAAAACTAAGGGATTTATGATCAAATTAAAATTGATACAGCACATCTAGAAAGCTATAATAATCTAATTGCCTATTAGCCGTTAAAAATATGTGCAATTTTTTAAACATCAATACTAATTTCTATCAATATATGTTATTTAATTTGCCCCAGTTTTGTGATATTTGAGGTAGGAATATTGACAAATTTAAATTTATTTTACTTTTAAAGCAGAGTTGCATCCAAAACTTTTCCAAAAATGTCGATTACTGAAAAGATCAGAGATTATAAAAATAATACATATAATATACATATATATTATATACATATATCATAGATCTTCTCTTTAGAAACTTGAATTCTCTCTTATGAATTCTTCCATAGCTTCTGCTGTACGAGCTCTTTAGAATTTAATTTATTCTGGTTTTTCTCCTCCCTTTTTAAAGAATACTAAAGTTGGAAAACCCTTAATTTCCACAGCTTCAGTCTTATGTTGAGTCCAATCCATCTCAGCTATCAACACATTCTAATTATCTGCCAAATTAGCTGCTAATGTTTTGTATGCTTCAGCCATATTCTTGCAATGACCACACCAGGGTGCAAAGAATTTTACTAAAACATCTTGTTTTGATTCCAAAACAATAGAATTGAAATTATCAGATGTTAATTCAATTACTTTTCCTTCATTTGTGACATCAGCAAGCACCGACATAGCTATGACCAATAGTACTATATATTTCATATTAATAATATTAATAATATATAATATATATAAATTATATATTGAACTAATTTATATAGATTATTTTTTTGAATGTTTGTCACTATTCAAATATTGTATTCTTGCAATACTAGCATTTTACATTCAACTTATTGAGATTCAGCATCTTTATAAATTTATTTCTTAGTATCATAGAAATGTCATAGGGTATACTAATTTCAACCTTTTTATAAGGTTTTTCTTCTATAACTATATCCGATATTCCTTTAGTATAGTTGNATTTATCAAATAGTAAAGACAAATATAAAATTTGATGGAAAAAGGAAAGCTTTATATAATTAAGACTTTTGAATTCACTAGAAAAGGAATTTTTAATGAAGAATGCTCTCACTTAATCAAAGATTTCTATTTTTAATACATATTGTCAAGAACTCAAAAACTAAGGGATTTATGATCAAATTAAAATTGATACAGCACATCTAGAAAGCTATAATAATCTAATTGCCTATTAGCCGTTAAAAATATGTGCAATTTTTTAAACATCAATACTAATTTCTATCAATATATGTTATTTAATTTGCCCCAGTTTTGTGATATTTGAGGTAGGAATATTGACAAATTTAAATTTATTTTACTTTTAAAGCAGAGTTGCATCCAAAACTTTTCCAAAAATGTCGATTACTGAAAAGATCAGAGATTATAAAAATAATACATATAATATACATATATATTATATACATATATCATAGATCTTCTCTTTAGAAACTTGAATTCTCTCTTATGAATTCTTCCATAGCTTCTGCTGTACGAGCTCTTTAGAATTTAATTTATTCTGGTTTTTCTCCTCCCTTTTTAAAGAATACTAAAGTTGGAAAACCCTTAATTTCCACAGCTTCAGTCTTATGTTGAGTCCAATCCATCTCAGCTATCAACACATTCTAATTATCTGCCAAATTAGCTGCTAATGTTTTGTATGCTTCAGCCATATTCTTGCAATGACCACACCAGGGTGCAAAGAATTTTACTAAAACATCTTGTTTTGATTCCAAAACAATAGAATTGAAATTATCAGATGTTAATTCAATTACTTTTCCTTCATTTGTGACATCAGCAAGCACCGACATAGCTATGACCAATAGTACTATATATTTCATATTAATAATATTAATAATATATAATATATATAAATTATATATTGAACTAATTTATATAGATTATTTTTTTGAATGTTTGTCACTATTCAAATATTGTATTCTTGCAATACTAGCATTTTACATTCAACTTATTGAGATTCAGCATCTTTATAAATTTATTTCTTAGTATCATAGAAATGTCATAGGGTATACTAATTTCAACCTTTTTATAAGGTTTTTCTTCTATAACTATATCCGATATTCCTTTAGTATAGTTGTGGGTTTCTTTGATAATCTCAAACAAGTAAGCAGATATATACAAAAAGTTTCCTAAAGTAAATGAAAATTATAATAGCATCCTAATGAAATATTCTGCTGCTTGACAACTTTCTCCTTTTATCGAGGAGAAGATTCTGATAATATATTAAAATTAGATAAAATTTATAATTTATGTATAATAACATATATTACAATATAAATAAAAATGATAATCTGGATGTGTAGAAAAGATCAAAGTGCATGTTAAAAAAGCATTTAAAATTTATTCATTTTGATAATTTTACAAGAATAAGGGCAAAAATCAATGATTCATTTGTCTATTACTTTTTAGGTATTTTAATTACAACAATTAAAAAAACCTATTATAGTTGTGAGTTCTTTAAAGAATTCACTGATAATAGCAAAGGAAAAATATAGTAGTCAACTCATACTTAATCATTGAGGTGATTTATTTTTATTCCATATTAACTAGAGAGTTATTATTAAGCTTCATGAATTTTAAATGAGGAAAATAATTAAAAAAAAATAACCAGTTATTTTTTAATACTAACTGCTTGAATTAAAAATTATAGTTCTAATCAATCTAGCTTTACTTTGATGAGTATGGCTTTAGATTAGTGAGTATCTACTGTCAAATGTTATATTAAAAACGAGATTTTCATATAGTTTTATGGTATAAATACAAATGGATTTTTCTTTTGTAAAATAACATTTTAATTAAATTAACACAATCAATGGGATCTTGCTCCTCAAAAAAATTATAAACACATCATACTTTGCCTCTAAACTCTTAGACAACATATGCTTACGTTCATTCTCGAATGACCTGGGCTGACAAATGCTTACAGCAACCGAAAGAGAGAATTATTCAACCCTACAATCCTAACAGTTCAAATAATAAATATATCATTAGGTCTCCAATATTAGTATAATGTAGAAGTGGAAGGAGTCATTTTTGACATCATAGCCCCTCCAGACCTATTAGACGATGATAACTTAGAGCCTTTTGAAGAAGAATGAGACTTTATTTTTTTGATATCCACTTCATATCTATATATGAAATGTAATTATAATATTTAACTTTGTGGTCATCTTGTAAGAGAAACTTATTAAACTTTAATTTTCTCTAGAAATCATGATCTCAAATTCTGAACACAAGAATATTCTTGTATTAGAGGGAAGTTACAATAGAAATCATAAATCTGATATCTATTCTAAAAATAAGGAATCGGAAGTATTTTAAAATTCTTGTGACAATTTTTTTGATTTATTTTACACTGAAAAATTAAATATTGTTGGTTATATTTAGATTGAAGGTGCCTTTAGAGATCATAATGAAAACCATAGGTTTTATTGTAACCATATACCAATTTAAACTCTTATAAACTAACAATTTTTATAAAAATTTGTATAAGTGTAATTTTCCAAATGAATTAAATAAAAAAATCATTCTTCGAATTATATCTTTACTTTATATAGGTTATAATTTCTAATAAAATTTTATATCATGATAATTTTCTTAATTGATAGTACATAATAGCTTGAAGTTGATAGACTAATAATATCACTGAAATAACGCTCTAAATAATAATAAAAATTTAATATCATAAAAAAGCAGAAAATAAATACTAAATAATTCAATTAGTTGTTTTTAAATTTTAAATATAATTGCAGTAGTATGCTTCTGAAATATTCCATCTTGCTTCCATGTTATAAGTTAAGCATTTAGTAATGAAATCTTTGCATTCTTGTGAAACATTTGGTTTTTAAGGAAATTTAACTTAATAAGAGTTTAAAATAACTCTTTCCTAAAAGATAATTACTAATATTTTACTTAGGCTATTCTTTCCTATGACATTCCATCTCCAAAAGGCTTTTTACCATAAACCATTTCAAATAAAATAACTCCTACTGACCATACATCTACTTTAGTGCTTATTTAGATATTTTATTGTTCTAAAAAGCATTCTGGAGGTAAATACCAATATGTTCCTAATCCTTATGAAGTTAATTCTTATCTAGTAGTATCATAGTCTAAAACTTTACACAATCCAAAATCAGTAATCTTAACTTCACCTTTATGAAATAAAATATTTTAAGGTTTTAAATCATAATGGATAATTTTAGTAGGACTGCAACTCATATAATGTAATGCTGCCAATACTTGACGAATAATAAGCTTTGCTTCCTTTTCTGCTAATAATTTATATTTCTTCAAATGTTAATTTAAATCTGTTCCATCACAAAATTCTAATACTGTACTATTTCTTATAATTATTATTTAAATACCAAAAAGAATCTTAATCTATTTCTTATGTATCATATAAAGATACAATATTAATATGTTTTAGTCTCTTATGAATATCATTCTCTCTTAATGCATGTTTAATATAATTATTTTTTGCATTTTCATTCCATTATGGATTTAAATAATGAATTTTACAAGCACAAACTCGAAATTCTTATAAATCAAAGGATTTATAAACTTCAGAAAATCCACCTTTTCCCAATAAACCTAATGTTTAATATCTCTATGCAATTAATGGCCATTTTGGTTCTGCTCTATAATATCGACAACTAAATAATAATAATCTATAATAGTTACCCCTATTCCTCCATAAATCTTCTAGTTTTATATGCCAATTATTGTTTCTCCTCTTCTAATTTTTATAATTTCAATTTTAATTCTTCTTCTTCTTTCTTTAGTATACTCAATTAGAATTAGATTCTAAGTTTCCTTTGATTATTATCCAAATCTCCATTCTATAAATCTAATTCAAATACTAATTTAGTTTATTTATCTTTTTATATTTTTGATAAGGATTTATCTTTAATTTCATTTTTTTATTTTTCTAATTCATTTCTTTCATTTTCTAATTTTTATAAATTTTATTTAACTTGCTTAATTTCATATCCATCTTACCATTCCTCTACAAACCTTACATTATTTCTAGAACTAATAAATTCACCTAATCTATAACGTTCCCTCTCTAGATATTCTCTCATTTTTTCCCGCTTTAATTCTTCCACTTATTTTAAGGCCTCTGCAAATACTACTTAAGTTCTCTTTTTAAAAGCATTATGTTATTAAATTAACTCTTAACGTTCATTTTCTAATTGTTATTTCTCCTATCTTAATTACTTTTCAACTTATTCTTTCTCCATCAATTTTTATTACAATTTGTTTGCTTCATCATCACTTTATTTTTAAACTGACTATAAAATAACTTTACTATCTTTGGGTTTAACAAATGAACTTTTATCATTCCCTTAAACTTTTAACTTACCTTCATCTGTGTTTTTTTACTATAATGCTTTACTCTAATTACCCGCTTCATTACTTAAACCATTTGTTGATTTCAAGTATTTGTAGATCGTTTAACAATTAGGTGGATTAGTTAATGGTAATTAAATATTATCATTAGATGATTCATCATCACTTTTTAATTTAAGTGACATCTTTTTCTTAGGTAACTCTGAATCCATCTTTCTTTTCCTACTTATTCTCTATCTATCTTATGAATTTTCAGGATTTTGATTAAAATAATGGGTTATCAACTATTAACCTGAATTCGATTATTGTATTTCTTCTGACATTTTTAGTGTGTTTTTTATTATTTTTATTATTTGCACTCACTTTACTATAAAATGATAATAAGAATTAATAAATAACACAAAAAAAGGTTCACATGTTATAAAATCAAATTCTCTTTTTTGAACCTTAAATTGAGCCATCATTTTTTTAAGCTCTTCTTTATGATATAAGTTTTCCATATGCTTTCATTACCTTCTCTCCTTCTTCTTTCTTCTTTGGATCATTCGCCATTAAAGCATCCAACAATTTCTATCTCCTTATTGTACTTATGATCAAACTAAAAGGCAAATTCTTATTAATTGGTTAATTACTTCCATGTCCTAAACGTCCATTTATCATGTCTATATATTAATATACTCTTTACCTTTAAAAAAATCAATCACCATTGTCTCCTTTGAATTACTTTTACCATCTCCGTTTTTATTTTTAATAATTTCTAAGAATTCCTTAAATTCAATAGACCCATCATCATCAACAGTATAAATAAGCTTCTTAACATCTTCTCGTGATTCAGCTATGCCCAAAGAAATTAATGGTTCCTCTAATTCATCTATACCAATTGACTCTAATTATTTAAATTGTAATTTTATACTTGATCCATCCTCATCTAAAGAGTTAAAGTATTATTTTAATTAAGAACGCTCTTTGTCATTAAAATCAATCAAATGTTTATTCTTTCTCTTCAATAACCAGTGTCTCAACATTGCCTCTTACTTCAATTTAGAAATCATTGCTTTACCAGTTTCGAATCTTACTCATAAAATTCTTTAATTCTCTTATTCTTTTTAGCTATCAGCTCCTCATATGTTATATTTTCCAATCCTTATGTTTTAATCATTTCTCCAATCTATTCATTTGTATAATTTGTAAAATCCATGTTATCATAATCCATTTTATATAATATATATATATATATATATATATCAAATTATAAACAAACATATTTTATGTTATACATTATATTTTACAACCTACATGGATATATTCCTATTCTATGATATAAAGTTATTGGTGACAAATTTGATTTTACATTCATTTTAACTAAATGATTACAATATAAATCTAAAATATCTTAAGAACTTATTTTTAATAAAAAAACCATGAAGTTATAGTAAGCAATTAAATTAAAAACAAATGAATAAATTCAAATAATTTCATATATTTATTAGACTTGTTATATATATATGGATTTAGGGAGTTATTTCTTTTTATTAAAAAAATTACTGTGAATTTAAAATATTTTATAAATTATAAGTCCTTAATCTTTACTCTCTCCGTTTTATTTATTCTTATTTTGAAATTGTTTCAAATTTCTAGATGATACCCAATTCTATATACAAAAAAGTAATATTCTTTATAAAATCTTAAAGATGTTTTGTTTATTACTTTTTATGTACTAGAATAAAGCTAAAAAAACATTCCTGATACATATTTATTAAAATAACTCATGTTACTCATTATTATGGTTTATCTGATATTCTAAAACTGTTTCCAGGAGTAATTGGTGGTATCAACTCTAACATGGATGGAATCTATTACTATAGCTTTGAATACTTTTCTCTCCAACCTTCATTATCCTAGAAATAGTATAATTATTACTTGTAATAGATCTTCACTACTCTTACTTAAACGTTCTATTTCAACATTTAATTAACTGATAATATTTCTAAGTAAATTCAATTCACTTTCATTTGATGTAACTTTTCTCTTCCATCTTTCTATTTCCAATTCTTAACCAGCTAATTTATTATTTGATTCTAATTTTTCATTATACAATTTTTCTTAATCTTAAGTCAATTTTTAAAATCTTCTTCTCCAATCTTCAACTTCTTTTTCTCTTGCTTCAACTGTCTTTTCTAATATCTTATAATCTAATTTTTCATTTTCTAATAATTGTAATTAATATTAAGTATTTTGTTTTTACATGTTCTCTAATTCTATATTTTTCTAACCAATAATTTCATTCAAATAATTAACATGTTATGTTAATTTATTTAATTCATTTTACAAATCATTCCATTAATCATCCTCTTTCTTATTATCCTTTAATTGAATTTCATATTACTTTGTAACTTATCTAAATTAATGAATGTCATCTTCTTTACTTCTTAATACATTTAATAATCTATTAATTTCTTCTTATTATTATTCCTCATTAATTTATTATTATTCTAATTGTTTTTTCTTATCATCTAATTATCTTTATAATAACATTATTTATTATTTTAATTCTTCTATTTATTAAATCTATTTTTATATCTATTCAAACAATCGTTTATTTTCGACTGTTAATGGTTATAATTAATCAATTAATTATTCAGTTTAATGAATTTATTATCTATTTAATTCTAATTCTTAATTCTTATTTTTTAACATTACTTTTAATCTTTCAATTTCACTAGACATCATTGCACATTTATTTTCTAATTTCTCTTACTCTCTTCTTGTTTAATCATACTGATTTTACAATTATTAATATTTATCACTTAAATCTTAATATTTCTCAATTTCTTAATTGAATAAATCTTATAACTTTCTGAATTCTTATTCTATTTATTATAATCTCTTTATTTCAATATCTTTATTATCTAAATCTCTTAATAATTTATCTTATTATGTTTATAATTCCCTTATATTTGATACTAACTTTTAATTATTTTATGAAAGATCTTCAATATCATTTTATTATTGTTTAATAATCATTTCTAAATTTTATTAATCCTTTAATTCTATTTTATATTAATCTATTTTCTTTCTATAATCTTCATTTTATTATGCTCTTTCATTTTCCAAATCTTAAAATCTTGTTTACCATAAACCAATATCTCTATTATCATTATTTATAATTTCTTTAAGTAGTGTTACTTATTATTCTAATGGTTACAATTTAATTATATTCTATTCTAATTAAGTTATTTAAGCATTAAGAATATCATTTTATAATTTTAATTCATCATTCTATTTTTCTAATGAATTTATTTTAGCTATTTAATCATTAATTCTTTCCTCAAATTCAGGATATGCATCTAATTTATGTCTTTATGTATTTATAGTTAATTCTAAAGAATTCAAATGCAATAATAAAGATGCAATTTACTTGTTTAAATTATTATTAAATATCTTCAATCTTTATAATTCATTCTTCTAATTAGCATCCAATTCTCTTGATTTTTCTATCTATTATTCATAAGACTATATAACAATTTGAATTTTATCTAAATCTGTCTTTAATTATTCACATTCCTTAATCTTCTTATTAAAAGCTATTCTTAATTAATTTGTATCTGATTCACTTGTCTAAAGAGATTGCAACTCACTAAGAATATCTTATTTCTTTCTATCCACATTTTAAAGATCCTTAACTAATTATCCATTAATATCCAATTATTTTTTTAATTCAGATTCTAAAATCTATATTCTTTATTCTAATTCACTAATCTAATCATCTTTAGTATCATCTATTTCCATTTCAAGTTCAACAATCTTCTATCTCATCTTTTCTACAGTATCTGATTTTTATTATACTAATTTTCCTTATTGATTTTATGACTTAATATTTTATTATCTTTATAATTCATTAATAGTTCCAATTAATCTAGCTACTCTTGATTATGAAAGAATCAATTCCTAATATAATTGAAGAGCCTTCTCCTTTTATTATTCTTTTTCAATCTTATAACCATCAATTTGATGAACTTCAATACTCAAAGAAAATATCTTGGATCTTTATTATTCAATTTCTTATCCTTATTCTAAACATTTTGATTCTAATTATTATATTGTTGCTTTTTATCCTTCACATCTCAGTACTAATTATTTATACTTATCATTAATATTCTACAATTATGTATTTTATTATTCTGATGTTAAATATTTGTTTTTCCATAATTCAGATTCTTATCGTTTCTATTATAATAGTTAATTTAAGGCATCTAACTCTCTTTAAGTACTTTATATTTCAGACTATCTATTTCTAATTAATGATTCATTTGTTAATTCTGAAGATATTAATTAATTTTATAATTTTTCAATCTAATTATTGTCTTAAATTGTAACTTTTTCAATTCTCTTAATTATAGGTACTCCTTCAATCTTTATTTATCCCAATTCAAAGTTATTATTGAAATTTTTCAATTCTTCTTATAGTTTAATAATTCTTTATTATGAAACATCTAACAATCTCTATAATCTACTAATTTCAGAACAATTTTAATTATATTTTTCTCTCCATTATTCAGATCCAGCTAATGTATCTTAAAGTTCTTATCTAAGTGATTATATTGTATTTTATTATGATTTCACTCTTGATTCATATTTTGTTAATAAATTAATTCTAATCTTACTATCATTTAATTCATTTTATAATTCATTTCTATTTTATTTTAATTATTATATTTGTAAGAGTTATTCCTTAACTACTTTATCTTTCTCTTAACAAATATGCTCTTACTTTTTAACTTATTATGCTAATTATTCTAATTCTCCTAATTATCTTCTATAATCTTCTAAATCTTTAAGTAATGAATTTATTTTTTCATTTGCAATATTTAATTCCTATTCAACTGCATAATACTCTTAAATTTAAATTGTTTTTTATCTTAATAGAGCAAGAGTTTCATTTAAAACTTTATCTTTTTATACAATTGAAGCCTATAAGTTCTATTTATCAATAATTAATAAATCTATTTGTTCCTATAATCTTTAAATTTACCTATTATCTCTTTGTAACTATTATTATATAATAATTTAATACTTTTTAATTCACATCCTCTAAAGTTTGTATTCTACTATTCAATTATTCAATATCATTAAAAGAGTTTTCTAAACGAATATTTGATTCATCCAATAAACCTTAAAGTCTTATTTTCTCTTCATCTAATTATGTGTTTTCTAATGTTACAATCTTCTCCTCTCTTACAATTTATATCTTTGGTTTCTCTTATAATAATCCATTTAATCTAGCTATTTCTTTATCTTTCTCATCTAATTTTCCTATTTAATTTGTCAATTCACTTAATCGTTTCTAAAATTCCAATTATTATTATCTCAAACCATTTAATTCATTGTTTAATAAATTATTTTAATGTTCCTTTTCAAATAAATTAACTTATGTTTATTAAAGTAATTAAGAATGATTTTCAGGACTCTTCTCTATCTTTTACTTTTCTGTCTATTATTCATTCAATTCAACTTATGGAGAATGTGGTTAAGTGTCTATATTCTCTATTAAATCATATTTCTTTAATCCTTCTTCTCGTAATTCTAATAGTCGTTTTCTCTCATTTTCAGATTTTGTGAATCTATCTTTCCAAAGTTCAACATCATGTTTCCAATTGATTATTTAATTCCTTAAGTCTTAGTTAATTAACTCCCAATTCTTATTTTATTATAAGAACTATTCTAATGAATTGTATTTGTTATTCAACTATATTTATTGAATTAAGTTTTACTTCTTGTATCTCTCTATCTTTGAAGAGTAATAGCTAGATATTTCTTTGTAATTCTTGGTCCACTTCCCTTAACACATCTATTTATTATTCCAATTCTAAGATTTTTAATTAAGCTTGTTCTAAATCCCTTGATTTTACTTAAAGCAATTAACTTAATTGTTTGTTTTCTTCTTACAATATTGAGTTTTTAGATTCATATTATATGAGCTTAAATGAAAAATGGATATATACTGATTATTCGTATGTAACATAGAGATCTAATTATTACTGGATTTTGAAAGAATGCTCCTTTTAAGCTTCAACTTCAGCCATGAGCTCAGCAATTCTAATTTCACAGTATGCAATATCGGCCGTAGCAGGTAAATTAGGTTTACGGACATTCTTGTAGACAATTTCTAAAGATAGATTCATTAAAGATACTTTCTTCAGGATCAGGGATGTAAAGACTTTGAATTGTATTGGTGTCCATTAAAATATAAATATTATTGCTCACTAAATCTTGGATTTTATCATATAATTTTCATTTCATTTATTGATATTTAATTATCATTTATTAGATTATTCTTTACCTCATACAAACTTCTCTCTCCTCATATATATACTTATAAGAGAATCTATTTATTAGTATATTCATTATAGAAGTAAAGATCAATTAAATATTGTATTAATATATAAATTACATAAAAGATAGAAGAAAATTAGATGTATAATAATAATATATATTTTTGATTAAAGGAAAATAAAATAAAATGATCAATTCTTTTTTTTAAAAAGCTATTCAACACTTTTCCTTTCAATATCGGAACAGTTTTAAAGTATGCATTCCATCAATGAATAAGATTATGGTACTTTACCTAAACATGTGTCAAACTAATAATTTCAAATTTTATATATACTTTTTCTAGATCTTCATCTTTTTCAAGATCATTTGCACAATTCTTAAGATTTTCAGCACATCCTTAAATTCTTGCACAACCTCCTGCTTATTTTTTGCAATGTTTTGCCATGCATCTAGTCATTTCATCATCTTCATTTTTATGAACTGACCTTGCTGTGATTATCAAAATCAAAAGTGCAACAATTAAGATATATTTCATTTTAAATAATTGTTAATTATACTTAGTAATGATAGCTTATATACATTATAAATTTTCAGTATTAATATAATTAATAAATTAATTTATCTCTAAAATATATCTTAAGTTAATTCCTTAAATCTAAACCAATATCGTATTCGATATTTTGTGTTAGATTTAACATTAATAATCATCCACTTAATATGACTAATTATAGTATATTAATTAAAAATACATAATATGATATTATTTATCTATAAAGATTAGATTAGAGTTAATTTTTACATTCATCACTATATCTTTAATAATCTATTTATTATAATCCTCATTCATCATATGTTTAAATAAATTAATAAAGTCTTTCTTCTAAAATTGGAAATTAAGATTAATTACAAGAATAATGAATTTAAAATTTCAATCTAGATTAGATAACTAAAAGTTTTCTCATTTTATCAAAATTGAACAATAATTGATTATTAAAATAAATGATAAAATAAGTACAGTTGTTTATAATAAAATCAATTTACTAAAAAGCCAATCTTCATTATGATTAATCTAATTGAAATCCATATTTTAGAATTAATTTTTTATTAAAATTTGTCATAATTATTATCTTTAAAGTTTATACTTTTTCATATATAATTTTTATATCAATAATACCATATTTTTTAATCTTTATGATATTTTGTATTATTTAATTCTTCTAACTTTGGTTTAAATCTATTAATATTTATAAATCAAATGAATAATTAATTATTATAATTATTTTCTATTTAATAGTATATAAGTATTAATTATTAATAAAATAAAACTATTAAAATGGGAAATTAGTAAACATAATAGGATCTAAAGGAAGATATTTCTGATTCTAATTAAATTGTAACAGTTAATTTGAGTGGAATTAAAGAGTTGGAAGCAGAGTTTTTGAATTTTATAAATGATAAAAAAAGAAGGGATAGATGGTAATCATGTTTGAAATAATTTAAAATAACTTCTATGGAAGATCTCATCTCTGCTTATGGATTAGATAAGGAGAGTAAGGTTGGAAGACGGTGCAATGAAGCAGAACATTTAATACTCAATAATTATTTTTTGAAAAAATAGAAAGAATATGAAACAACATTTGAAGAATAAAAATTGATCACTTAGAATTATATCTAAGATTATGTAAAAAATAATAAGATCTAAAATGATATTATAAGAATTGAGGATAAGGAATATCATATAAGAAATATATTAATTGTAGGAATAACTGGATAAGGGAAAACTACTTTTATAAATAGCTTTATTACCTATCTAAAAGGATTCAATACACATAGAAGTTATGAAAATTTTCATTTTAGATACTATATTGATAAACCTGATAACAAAGATGTAAAATCTCACACTTAAAGTGTTTAATCTTATTAAATAATTTATGAGGACTATTTATTCAATTTAATTGATACACCAGGTTTAGGAGACACTGAAGGTTTAGAAAAAGATTAAAGGATAGTTGATGATATTGCAAAATATCTTTAATAGAATCTTCATGAAAATAATTAAAATCTTCATGCTGTATTAATAATTTCATAATCATCAACATAATATGAAGTTATTGATAATAAATTAACACTTTTATAAACTTCAATGTTAAGTATATTAAAATTATTTGGAAAGTAAATGAGTAATTTTGCATAACATTGTCTCTCTTTTTCAGATTTTACTGCAGCTAACACTTTAAATTTTGAAAGTCCAAATTCTATATTTTATTCATTAACTGAGTAATAATTGTAATTTATTCATGAATATTAAAAAAATGTTCAAGAATAATCTAAATAATTTGATGATTCTAATTTTGCAACTTAAATGTAACTAAATTAAAAAGATAATATGTATTAATAATATTATTAATTTTAAAATTCTGTATTTTAACTTAAAAAATTAGGTTTTATTGAAAAAATATAAATTAAAAAAAATGTGGAAAATTATTTTTCAATAACATAAAGAGTTAAAAATAGTTTAGGATTTGAACTTTAAAATAGTGTTGAAGTTATTGCATAAAGAAAAATATTAAAGCAAGAAAGAGATTAAATTCATTTGAAATTAAAGAATTTGATTACTAATAAAAATAGAATAAATGATAATATAAGGAAAATATAAATATATCAAAATAGGATCTAAGAATCATCTAATTTTGAATTTTATGAGTTTGTAACAGAATGTAAACGATAATTCCAACCTCAAGATGGTATGTACTTTACAAATTGTTTATAATGTAATAAAACATGTTGTGATATTTGTCCTATTAGAAATGAATACTTATCAAATTGTGTTTAAATGATGAAATCGAATAATTAAATTATATGTTAATCTTGTAATTGTTAATTAGATAAACATATTAATGAAAAATATCGATGGAGTTTTACGACTGAATAAATTAAACGAATAAATTTATCTCTTTAATAAGAGAATGAAAATGCAAAATCTTAATTTGATAAACTTAACCAAATTCTGGTTAATTTATAATAGTCTTTAAATGATATACAAGAGGATATCAAAATAACATTAATTTAAATGAAAAAATGCTTTGAATTATTATTGTCTTCAGCATTATATACAGTTGATATTTAGGATGAAGAGGCTTATGATTTTGTTTTAAGATTATATCCAGAATATAAAGAGGCATTTTCAGAATTTTAGACTTAAGAAGATATGAAAGTTAGTTAAAAAATTAGAAAAGATATTAAAGAAAAAAAGTTATTAATTTCATAAACATTATTGAGTATCAAAACATAATAGTTTTAGGATTAATCATTTTCACGATATTGAAAATTACATATTTTTAATATAAAAATACTCTTTATATATTTATTATATTTTTGTATATAAAAAAATACTATGCTTTAATCGCTTATCCTTTATATACCATTATTTTTATAAGAAATGATATATTTGTAATGTTCTGAATCATTTTTCTTATTTAATTAAAATCTTTTTATTATATTTCATTTACTACTTAATAGAAGTTGAAAATATGAATTTTTTGTTATACTTAATCTACAATTAATATACAAAAAATCATATTTAATTAATATTAAAAAATAACAATTAACTAGAATATTATAAATTTCTTATCTAATTTTATACAATTTCATAATCCCTTATTAAAAACTATAGTCTTTATCTTATTTCCTTTGCTATTTGTTAAATTTTAATATTATGATTCTAGATCAGTTGGATTAACCTTTAAATATTATGGGAATATTCCTATTCCAACAGAAAGACCACAATATAAGAAAAATCCGGATAAACCTAATGGTTGTAATAATAATACTTAAATCTAGTGCTAAACCTATTCCTCTCCCCTAAGGATAGCATTTAGCTTATTTCATGAAATAAATGACGATTGGTGGAATAAACATAGGTAATGGCAGAATATATCTTGTAACAAGTGTTCTAAAGAATGCAATTTTTGCTAAAAAAATAGAAATGGATCATTTACCAGCTTCTTTAGATAATCCTGGTAAAGGTTCTTATGTTTCATCATCAAAAACTTGAATTCCTTTCTAAAAATCAGGATACCTTGCAAAAAATAGATTAAATGTATTGGCAATAAGCACACCAAATAAGGGACATGCCTTTAAATAATTTAAGATTTATTATTACTCTAATAAGAAGTGCAGGAGCATTAAGTTTCTTGAAAAGCCAAGATGTTCCCAAACTTCCAACTACAGCTGATGATACTGCTCCACCATAGGAGACTAATGATAAAATAAATATGTTACATGCTAACATTTCATTGGAAAATACATTAGAGGCATTTCTATTACAATAATTAAACATAAAGTTATAAGTTTAATTAGCAGATTAAGCTAGTAATTGATTTATTGGCTATGAATGAAAATAAGAATTACTGTAGGTGGTAATACAGCTAATCCAAATGCTAAAGGAACATTTACAGGAACAAATGTTGAGGTTCTAAAGAGAATATTTACAGGCTCCTTCAATTAAGGGTGAATGTTTGAATCGACAACGTATCTCATTTTCCATAATTATTAATCTGTATATTATTTTCTGATTGAAGGATCTTTGTCAACGTTTTCTAAAATTTTTCCATATTCATTTAATTGTTCAGAAGAATAAAAAATGTTTCTATAATTAAAAGAAATCAGTACGCTGGACTTATTATATTTTAAAAATGCTTGAGTCTGCCCCAGTAAGTAGTTAAATCCTCTGCTGAATCTTCTTTATTAGTATATCTCTTCATGAATAAATAAAAATGTAAATAAAATTTTTAATTATTATGTCACTTTTATATTCTTGGTATTTAAAATTTTGTTTATATAAATATTCAATTCTTTTTTCTTTTCTACATTAAAGTTTTTAAAGACTCTCCTTAATTTTTTTATTTAGCATTATTTTTATTTTCGGCAGTTTTAACTTTATCAGGAAACAAAGTCTACTAAATATGCTTAGTTTAAGGATCTTCAGAAAGGACCTAAATATTAGGGAATTTAAATTACAATCCAATCTTACTTTTCTCCATCTTGATCACTATTATCAGAGTCTACATCATCAAAATCCTAATCTTCATTTTAATGTATTTCACTTTTATTTTCCTTATAATATATGAAAATTTTACTTCTTCATTTTATTAGTTGAGTTTATCTTAATCTTTTGAGTCTAGATTTATTCTTTGAGATTAATTTTTTTTATCTTCTTCTTCCTTCGCTTTTCTTTCAGATTCTTCTTTTGCTTTTCTTTCTTCTTCCTTCTATTACTAACTCAACAACTATTCTTCATAAGACTATCTTTTTCTACGATATATATCCTCAACATCTTAGAATACTTTTAATTCTTTTGATAATCCTTGGGATTTTATTACTTCAATTTAAGCAATAATTTAATCATTCGAGACCATTTTTTCTTTACAGAAATCTGCAACTTTTTAACTTGTACCAAAAAGTAAAGACATAGTGCTTTTCAAACTAGATATTCTTTTCTCTTTTGCAGCATGATATGATTTTTCTTTCTACATTATTTCTATCTCAACCTCTTTTTATCTAATTCCCTAATCTAATTATTCTTATTATTATTCTTTTTCTTTTTATTCCTTCTGATTCTCACTTTCCTTTAATAGGAATAGAATTATTTCATTTATCTCAATAATAATTCTAGCTTAATCCTTAATATCAATATCATATATTCCTTTAATTATTTCCTTTTTCTCCTAGACCATTTCATTTACCAACATAATTTAAAAAGATTCTAATTTCTCATATTCTTATGAGAATTGTAGAACTTTTTCTTAAAATTTGAATTCTTAATGAAAGATGTGTTATTTAATTGCTTTCCATGCAAATAAATTTTCATACATCTTTGATTCCTCTTCTGATAAAGCAACTCTTTTTATTGGCCTTGAATTTGAAAGAGGTTTTCTACCTCCACAAGCAAATATTCCTGAACTTTAAGGAGGGGCTGGTTGATTTATTATAGATTCAGGTTATAATTGAATTTTTTCAACTTTTAACTTAAGTTCTTCTGCAAGCTATATTGGTCCTTTTTTCTTCTTCATTAAACAACCAATCACCCAATTAAAAATTATGCCAGTTTTATTATCTGGTTCAGGGACATCAAGTTTATCTTTTGATAAAATTAATATTACTTAGGATTGAAAGCTAAATTTCTTCAATAAGTTTGATTAATCTTGCTTTTTATTTTATAGTCTCTTGCTCAGCCCATTTTTTTTATTCTTCTTATTATTTCAATTTTAATTCAATGTTTTTAAATTCTTTCTAAGCCGAATTCAATTCTGAATCTATATGAGTGGGCACTTTTAATTGCTAAACATAACTCACATTTTTACTTCCAACAATTTTAGACTTTCCATAACAGATTAATTCAATGTTTCACCCTTGACTTAAACCTCTCTCAAATATTAATCCTAATTTAAAGTAAGATGAGTACTTCTCCATCAATATAATTTTTTATTTGCATATTTAGATTAGTACTAACGGTATCAATTTCACTTCTTCTTTTCAAACATAAATTTCTAGTGTCAACAAATTTTTGTATTTGATCAACATCCTCAATAAATCGGCAATCCGTTATTTAAAGTGTAAACATAAATTATATTATAAATATAAATAATAAAAATAAACATGGGTTCATAATACTCAAAAGACTGTTCATAAACTTTAATATGCGATTAGACTCGAGTTTAAAGGGATCAATGCATCTTTAAAAAGGGTGAAAATAACTGTGGAAATGAGATAGATTAACATACAATTTGTATGAAGAATGAAGGATATGCAAAAAAAAGTTGATTATTTTATTTTATCATAAATTAATTAATGGAAATTGAGAAAGAAATTATTAAACTGTCATCTTGCTAGAAATTCTTGCTTATTTAAAGTTTTAGAACATTGATCAATATAATTGATTTGGAGCATTTTAAACAGAAACAAATCAATTTTAGAGATGCTGAAATTTCATTTATTGATTACTTTGAGAATGAATTATTAGTAGGAGACAAATAAGGAAAATTGTATTACAAAAATGAATCATTCTAAGTACATTCTAGCTAATTTTTAAATGGAATAGTTAAAGATGGAATGTTATTATCTTTAGGTTCAGATGGTTTAATAAAGTAAACTAATATCAAAACATTTTAATGTTTATACTCTAGATAATTATCAAATCACATAAAGGAAGGCACTTTATTTCTTTTAAGTTCTCATGTTTTAGTACAATTTGGCTAAAAGATAGTTTTAATCAATTTAGAAAATGATGTAAAAAAAATAATAATAATTTAAGGTTATAGAAACAAAATATAAAATTAATCAATAAGGACCTTTGATAGTCAAATTAAATAATTTATCAAGAGACTATTTCTCTGTCTTAGGCAAAGAGGGTTTATTGAAGATATTCAAATTAGGTGAAAATTCAGAAGCAATATTAACTATTGAGATTGGAATTTATGAAAATTATGAATTATTTTATATGGCAAAGAAGACAACACTACTATTGTGGAATTAAGATAGTATCATAGGGTATGTTTTTGAAAAAGAATTAAATAAATAATATGAAATAAAGATAAATAATTTATAATCTGTTATGTAAGGAGAAAGATTACTAATTGTATATGATAATATAAGTAATCCTAAATTAAAGTAGATTAATAATATTGAAAGTTAAAAATTCAAATCTTTATACTAATAAGAATAATTATTAAGATTCAATGAATTGTAATAATCAAAGTAATTTGAACAATAGTAAAATAAGTTACAATCAAATCCTATTCCTATTGCTTTTTATGATTTCGCTTATTTTAATAACAAAACCTCTCAAATTAAAGATGATAAAAATGAGCCAAAAAAGATTATAAGCGAATAAAATATGATTAATGTGCTTAAATAATCATTAATTGCAAAGGATAAGACTTATTTAGAATATGCTTTAGAGAGAACTCTTTAAAGTGGTATTGCTGAATCTGTGAATAATTTATAACTTGAACAATTATAAGAGCTATAGCATTTCATTGTAGATAAATTAATAAGTTATCCTGAATAAACAAAGAAGTATATAGAATGGATAAAAGCTATAGTAAAGAGAGGAGTAGGAGATTTTTCTAAATTGTATTATCTTTTGGAAGAGAGAACAAAATCTATTAATAAATTAGAAGCTATCTGTTCAAAGATACAATTTAATAAATTGACATAAAAACCAAAATAAGATAAAGATTATAGAAAACAATAACATACTATTTATGAAGAATAATAGAATGATGTTGTAATTATTTAAGGAAATCTTTAATAAAAACAGATGATTGAAAATAACTAGGTTGAAGATTAGACAGGTTAAATTGAAGATGATTTTGATTAAGCTTATATTAAAGTAAATAATAAATGTTATATATTTAATAGCATAAATAAGAGCTAAGACAAAAGGCTTATGAAGATATTGAGGAGGAAGCATATGATAATGGTGATTTAAAATTTTGATTAATTATGTATATATTTATATAAAGTCAATCAAATTATCAATTTATTATAACTAAACTCTTTGATAGTAATATCAGTTTTCAATTCTAAAACAATGGAATTCAATTGAGGAATTTTATTGAGATTTAGTTGCAATTGATTTACTTAATTCATTACTTAATCATAAGGATCTTCACTTTATTATTTGAATAGTTTTACTGATTCTATGAAATCATCTTTTTGATTCAGTCTATTCTCAAAATCATCTTTGTAAACTAAACTGGTTTAAACTAGTTAATCAATCTCATTTCTGATTTATTTCAATTGAAACTTCAAATTAAATAAATTATATATTACATCAACTTTCTAATTAAATTCAGTTTATATAACCTGACATTTCATTTTGAGTTAGTCTTATATATTCTCTAAGTACTCTTATAATTATTGCTTTGATTATTCTACTTGATATTTGACTTTCTAAATAAAGAAAATATAAATACATGAAATAATTGCATTTATTATAAAATTAGGTTTCCAATAAGTTCACTTTTTTAATTATCTGCTTTTAGAAATATTAAGATTGGTTATTCAATAAATTCAGTCAATTTGACAATTTAATCATGTTTACATTAGAATATTTTATATTTACATTCTCTACACAATAAATGAGTATCACATTTAGGTAAACAACAAATGAACTATGCAGTCCTTTTTCTTTATTATGCTTTATTAAAATGCTTAACACATTAATAATGCGATGGAGATTGTTTTGGGGAGTCTGAAAAATCTCTTTCCCTTTCTCTAGAAGTTTAAGCATTAGATCTTCTAGTAGAATGTCTTTGAAAATAATTATCGAATCTATTTGAATGTAATTTTGAATCTTCAGATGGCTCCCAAAGTGAATTCATGTCAGATCTTCTTGTTGCTAGTACTTTGACCAAATTGAGACTAGCCTTACTTGAAATGCTATTTTTATTAAGGGAATGTGGTTTATTATGAATGTTTTCTTTCATAAGATTTACTTGTATGATTGGAGATTTGTCTCTTTTTTACATACGTTAAAAATATAAATTTATATATATAATTTTATAAACATAATATAATTAAAGATAAACTTCAATTAATATTATGCAAAGAGGAATATATGGATTGTTGCAAAAAAACCTCCAATTAAAAAATGAATTTAAACATGTTAAAATTTAGGAATTTATGTAATAATGTATGAAAATTGATAAAAATATATATAATATAATTATATTATTATTACAGTTTAATAATTATAAAATAAAATGTAATATGATCGATCACTTTTGACAGTTGATATTTTAGGAGCCCAACCTAAATCTAGAAATTCTTACATGAATAGGTTATTGCCACATTAAATGAGATATGAAGAACAAATAAGAGTTTAGTAATGAATATAAAGTCATGAAAGACAATAAATTCCAAAATAAGATTATAAATTTGGAAGAAGAAGGTACTAACATGATTTCCATCATTTTTGCAATATATGTATTCCATAAGGAGAAGAGTACTTTGAAAAATCCAATAAGAAACACTTTATAATTCCAGAAGGAGAAATCAAATAATATAAAGCATTGGAGAATTATTATGATCAACCTAAGTATGATAATTGTTTTTGATGAGGATAAATTGAGGCTGATAGGTTACTATGTACAAATGACATTGATGGAGCAGTTCCTGGTTCTTTATAGAGTAAAGCAGTCCGTAATCAAGAGGTAGCTTAAAAGATGAGAATATAAAGAGAAGAATAGAAGGCATAAAAAAATAAAGCATTATATTAATCCCAAATTGAATAGAGTTATGAAGAATAAGAAGCATACTCTCCATAACCTTAAAGAAATAAATCATTTTCAGTTTAACTATCCCCAGTTTAATAATCGATAGTAAAAACCTAACCCTATGATTATATGAATAAACCATTAAAATTACCTCCAATTAGTGATAGAATAGTAGCTTTCACAAATCCAACAAACAATAAACTACAGCTTCGAGAGAATCCTTTAGGTTTTTAATCCTAAGATTAGGATAAGACATTAAAGTTGATATAGAAGTAACCAGCATTGAGATTATTTGTTTGATATAATCATGAATAAATTTTACTAATATTGTTTATCTAAAATAATGTTAATGAAGATTCTTATTGACATATTTCATCTATTAAAATTACTCCGTTGATTTTTATAGAGCTTCTTTATTTATGCTTAATATTTTGAGTCAATTAATAACATCTAATATGAAAAATAGAGATGAACTATACTTAACATTATTAAAAATTTACTTTAAAGAATCAAATATATAAATCAAAGATGGATGAGATTTGGACTTCTTTTTGTTTTTATGATTTAATTGTGATGCTGTAATAAAATCAAATAATAAATAAATGGATTTGTCTGAGTTCTATGATTTATTCGACCGGGTAGTCTTTTGGGCTGATGAAAATTTGGATTGTCGATTTGAAGAATATCCTAAAGAATGTTTCTTGATTGATTTTTTGTGAATCAATTGCTTGTCTTTATAAGGATTTCATTTTGATCATAAAAGTAATTTCAAGAAACATTATTAAAGTAAAATTGACATTTACAATTTCCTATAGTAATTGTTCCAATTTAATTGATAATTTTAATTAATCATTTCCCAAATATGAATCCCAAGATGACCGAAATCAAAGCAATAATCAATACTTATTTCAACTCAAATTTATTAGCTATTTGAGAATATGAGATATATTATACCATGATGTTTAACAGCTACTTCTTGTTATTTGACACTCTTAAGCATTAATTAATAATCGGAGAGTTACTTGGACTAAAGCTATGAAAAATATTATATACCAATTAATCTATCTACTCTTGATATCTCTATATCTCCTCATCTTTTTCTTTTGATTATGTATCATTCATTGATTAGTATAATTAACTCATATTATCATGAGTTTCTGATATCACACTTTATTGCAATTATTATGTAATTATTTCTTATTGTACTTCTACAGGCTTAATCCGACTTTTCACTTGTACTTATTATATCAGTGATGCATCTAGTGATCTCCAAAAATTTGCAAGATCTTTTGTTATAGAAATTGCTATACCTTATTCATCTTATTCAAGTGTACACGCATTTATTTGGAATTTAGAATCCAATCTGCTATCCTCTTTCAAAGGTTGAGTTGTTGTAATAACAATAGAGACTTAATTATTAGGTTATATGATCCCTATACTTGGTTTAACTTAAAACAAATATGGGGTTGCAGTTTTGATCTTATAATAAGTGAATATGTTTACTTTGAATGATAATTTATTAGAAGTCAAGTTAAAAACATTGAGGGTAGTTTATCCTAGTTTGCCTTCTTGAATAATGAAGTCTAAATATTATTTTGGTTCAATATCAATTAATCCTTACATAAATTATATTTATTATTTTCATTATATAAGTAAGTTTATGATGTTACCCCTTAAAATAGAATAATAGAATCTTTCATAAATATAAAATTTTTAAACATCATAATTACTAATAAACATTAAAATAATTCTGATCCTTAGAATTTTTATTTTTGTAAACTGGATAGACTATTATATGTATTTTAATTGAGCAGAGGAAGGCTGCAATTTATGAAATACGATTTTGTCACCTTCAATTTAATTAGCTTTGAACTATCTAAAATTTAAATCATAATTATTTTCTTAATTTTAGATCTTTGTCATTTTAATCAATAAAATTCGATTTCAACTATTAACCTTCATTTTTTAAATTTGCTTTTATGAATCCAAAATTTATTACAATTTTATTACAATTAGCTTTAATTTTAAAATTAGTATCAGAGTTTTGAATTTGGATATTTAATAATGATTTGAATTTATGAAATATGTAGAATAGAATTTGAACTTATAAACGACAGCAATTTATTAAATGAATGACTTAAAAATTTAAAATTTTATTGATATAGTTTTAATCCATATTTAATAAATTAATGGAGATGTTTATTTTGAACTTATAATATTCAAATCAATAATAGATGATATAATTTATATGAATATTAATTAATGTTATTTTTATTAATTGCCATAGTATTTACTAAAGAAGATTAAAGTATTAGGATTTCTTAAAGTTGTGCCACTAATCTAACAGGTTATTTTTGGAATGAATAATAATGTATTAAATGTAAATAGCCCTCTTGTAAATGTTCATCATCACAAGGTTGTGATTCATGTTTGAATTAATACTATTATGATTCAATTAATTAGAGTTGTACTCCTTGTCCCAAAGGATGCATTAAATGTTGTAAATCCCCTGAATTAACTTAATACATCTGTACACTTTGTATTGATGGATATATCATGATAAATGGAGTGTGTCTAAAAGTTGAAGCATGCACCCAAATTTCAATTCATGGAAGATGTTAAAAATGTTTCGATAAACACTTTCTATAAGAAACATGTTAGGCATGTCCAACTGGATGTTCAGCTTGTGATTCTAAGTATTATTGCACTGTTTGTGAAGATGGTTATTATATGACTATTAATTAATAAAGTGTCAGTTGCTTAACTTGTAATATTTTGGAAAATCAAGATGGATGCAAATCATGTGTTTTCAATAAAGAATAATTAGTTTGTTTAGAATGTCTGGATACTTATTATTTTGATTAAGAAAATTATTTATGTCTAAAATGTCCAAGTGGATGTTTCACATGTTAAGACCCTAATTAACTTCCGTAAATTTGCTATACATGTCTTCCTGGTTATTTATTATCTGATGATGATTCTTATTGTGAGAATTGTTAAGAATAAATTCCTAATTGTATGAAATGTACTACTAATGAAAGGAGTAGGAATTTCTAATGTATAGATTGTAACAATGGATACTATTTAACAACTGATTCAAAATCTTGTGAACCTTGTAATAATGGTAGCAACAATTTTAGAAGATGCAACTCTGAAATTCTACCTACTTAATGTAATGTAGGTTATTTACTATTTAAAGAATCAAATACTTATACTTGTATTAAAAATATATACAATTGTTATACTATTGATAATACATAAGGTCAATGTCATGATTGCAATTTTGGATTTAATTTAGTATTTGATTCAGCATTATAAATGAATATATGTAAGAATTGTACATAAAATATCTAAAAATGTATTACTTGTGATGTTGATAATGATAAATAACTTATCTGTAAAGAATGTAATGATGGCTATTTTGGAAATTAATGTGTTCTTTGTACATCTAATTGTTAAAAATGTTTAAATGAATCATAATGTTAAACATGTATTCCTGGATATTATTTGGATGATTTATAATAATGTCAAAGTTGTGAGGTTAGTTTTTGTTTAGAATGTGGAGGATTAAAGGAATGTATAAAATGTGAAATAGGTTATGGACTATTTGATACAATTTGTAAACCATGTTTAACTGGTTGTGAAAATTGTGATGGAGATTTAGATAAATGTAATATTTGTAGAGATAAATATTATTTAACTACAACTGACAATAATTGTAAAAGATATAAAGAAAATTGTTTAGCTACAAATGTTAACGGTTATTGTTATCTTTGTGAAACTCAGATTAGTTTTGATGAATCACGTAATCTTTTTTATGATGAGGGAGAAGAGACTCCAATATTTGATGAATAATCAGATAGTTAATTTTTTATCAGCAACAATGGTTATTGTTTAAAATGTAATGATTATATAACTGGATCATTTAATTGTCCCTAAATTTGTAAAGTCGATGAAGATTTTGCTTAATATCTTTTACCCATCATATTGATATTATTAATATTTTAATGATTCTTAATTAAATTAAATTTTATAATATCTATTTTTATTCATTAATTTAATCTATTTATAATTCAAAATCAGAATATATCTATGTAATTCTTTTTAAATTATTATAAAAATAATTCAATTTGATAAGAAAACTTTGTATTCATATTCTATATTAGATAGATTAATTAGAAAGTCAAAAGAAAACTATTTCAAATTATATAAATATATATGATATGATAATATTTTTGAATATATAAAAATTTTGATTTAAAGTTGATTGGATAAAGATTTATTATAAATAAACTTAATATGATCAAGAATATTAATAACATATTTAAATTTGAATTTCAACAGAAATAAGAAAGTCAATATTATTCTATATCTTATAATAATAATATGAATCTAACATGAATTTTGATTATAATGCAATAAAATTCAGTTGCATTTAATTAGTCTCACCTTAATTCAAAATGAATGATTTTAATTCATTATTTTTTATCATATATTAAATTATTTTTGAATTTATTTATGATTGAATAATTAACATCATCAAATAAAAATTAAATTTAATTATAATACGTAACATCTTGAAATATATATACGTCAATTAGAATACTAAAATTCAAAGTATAATAAAATTAAAACATGGATAATGATTATTATGACTTTCTTGATCATTCATTCGATTATAAACCAAAGAAGAGAGGATAGAGGGGTTAGAAAAATCTCATTTTAATTTAGCATTGACTGATCAAGAGATCATTGTTCGTGAAAGAATGAAACTTGTAAAAAATAGAGAATCTGCAAAAAATAGCAGAAAAAGAAAAAAGATGTATGTTGATCTATTGGAAAATAAAGTATATTTTAACATTAACTTAAGGTGGCAGGTTTAAATTAATAGTTATAAGAATATAAAGAACTCTAAGAACAAAGTTAAGGACTATTAAGAAATACACAAATCTAATTGCTATTTGGAAAATCAAAACAAAAACCCGATTAATTAAATCATTACCTTTAGGAAATTTATGAGTAATCAATTCCTAAAATGGCTTTATTCTTTAAATAAGAAAAACATAATCCAGAACTAGATAATTGTTTTTAAAATTTTTATAATTGCTTTAATGATATGAGTAATGTCAAAGATGAAATGATTCAAGAAATGCAAAAACTTGAAATCACTATGAAAGATGCCAAAGAAATTTCAGAGTTTAATAAGTTTTTTGAACATGTCTCAAAATTAGATTTCTAATAATAATTGGACAGTTTAGAAGAAGTAATTTAGAGTATAATATAAATTAGGAACTCGGAAATGTAATTAAAACAGATGATCTTTAATTGTCGATCAAAGATACTTATGATTTGTACAACAAATCAATGTAGTTTATAAAGAGACCAAAATTGAATTGAAAATTATTTATATAACATTCTCATAATGTATAACAATTAATGGTAATTAAGATTGAAATTAGAGAGTTGATATCATTATCAAAGATAATAAAGCCATAATAATTAAATAATGTTAAAAATATGTTGTATATTTCATATTAAAATTAAAAATTGCAATAAAAATAATCATTCATTTTAGATCAAATAAATAAAAACTAAAATATGGTTCAATTGAAATAGAAAAGGAGATTATATGTGATAGAAACAATAAGATAAATTAGTTTATATAATATAAAGTTGCTACTTATATATTCTTTATTAATTTTTAATGAATCCAATCATATATATATAACTCATATTATGATAAATCTCTCTTTAAATGTTATAAGAATAAACTTCAACAAAATTAATAGGGAATATATAATAATTTAATCTTTCTTAATATTTGAATGTTATATAGAATCATTTCTAACTATTAATGTAAATAAAAAAACTAAATTATTTATATTACTTTTAATTACTCAAAAGAATATTTTTATACATTTGATTAATGAATTACTAAAGATGATCTTGAAATACATCTGTCAATAAGTTAATTAAAATAAAATATTGATGAAAATTTAAGAAAAATTTAGATTGTTTCAATTAAAATGAAGAATTTTCTAAAAAAGTAGAATTATTAAACAATAATATAAATTACAAATAGATTATAGAAGGATTTGAAAATACAGTGCTCTAGAGTAAACTGAATGCATATAAAATTGTTTTTTTTAAAATGAATGAATTATTCTACTAAAAAATTTAGACCTCTTCTATATCAAAGTCTATTGTTACAATATTTTGGGTAAAACATTTTAAGTAATAAATTTATTAAATTTGATTTGAAATTAATTCCATTTATTAAGAGATTACTAAAATTTAGTCATTAAAACACTGTTAACATAGATTTGATTGAATATCATTCATTCAATAAAATTTGACATTTCATATAATAGAGAATTATATTTAAAACTCAGGAATATAAATTAAAGCATTATTATACTAAATTTAAGTCTAAAATTTAACAGAAATTATTAAAAATGAAATCTGATGCGAATAAATAATCGTCATTAAAAAAGTGTAAAAATCTATAATTTATTGTTTATAAAACAATTATCAAAGAATCATAAGTTTTATATAATTTCAAGTGGTTTATAAAAATAATTATTGACTAGACCAAATTCATAAGAATGATATGCATTCTTTAATAAATTATATTAATGCTTAATATAAATTAAAAAAGTTTTCAATTATTATTATGCAAATTAAACATAAGGAGATGTTGTGGAAATTAATGAAAGTTAAATATATTGATAACTCAAGAATTTAGAGAGGGAGTATTTATATCAATTGATACAAGATTTTAGAAACTATATAAACTATAGTTTATGATTATCATACTTTTAATTTTTTGGTAAAATTTAATTCTACATTGTTTGTCAAAAGAATTTGAATAACACTATTATTTTACAATTATAATTTAGAAAGCAGATCCAAGATATTTAGAATTTGCTTTGATAGTAGCTAGAGCATTGAAATTGAGAATATATTCTCATTTTAAAGGGGATCACTTAATGTAGAAATATTTTGTTGAGATTTTAAATTTATTTGATTTAATAGAATGGTAATAATTTTTCTGTTTCTTAATACTTATTCCATCATCTTCTAATATATATCTTATTTTCTAAATAGAAACATTACACAACATTTGAATAAAATATATATATATATAAAATTTTAAGAAACACAAAAATAATAATATTAATATTTAAATGTTACCCATACTTATCTGCTCCTTAATGATTTTAGAAGTCTTAAGTGATCAAATATATCCTATCAAGGACTAATATAAAATATAATTAGAAAATGATGGATGGATTGATTGTTAGAGTAAAGCTGCTATATAAGCTACTACTTGCTCAGGAGATGATCTATAATGGTTAGAATGCTATTAAGTTCCAGAAAATGGCTTATGTTCCAGATAGAATATTATAACTAATACTAGTGAAACTTTGACTTATTCTTTTACTTTCTACAAACCTACTTTCCAGACTTATGATATAGCTATAAACAATGAGAAAAATACAGGGATAATTAAAATTTAGAATGATATAGGTAAAGCAACAATTTAATAATAATCAACTACTTCTTCAATTAAAATAAATTAAAATGGAGCTTATTTTACAGGTCTAACTATTAGTAAAGAATGTAATCCTAATTGCAAGAGTTGTGATGATGGATTTTGTACAAAATGTAATGATAACTACTATTTATTCAATTATATTTGTTAATAAAATGATTGTGATTTAAGTATAATCAATAATAATTTCATAACATCAGCAACTGGAGCTTTTTAAAATGGATAATACTTAATCACTTTGAAATACAATTTTAAAATAACTTTTTGTTTGATTCCAAAAATATACTTAACAAAAGGATTGAAAGATTCTTAAATTTAAAAGATTTTGGATAATAATTAAATATAATATATTCTAGCATCTGATATTCCTGATTCATTATAAATAACCTTATCTCTAGAACAAATTTAAACTGATTGTGAGTCATTTGAGACTACTTAAGCATATGTTTATTAATGTTATATTGGAGTTGCCTTAACCAGTTCTAAAATAACTTAATTCATGTCAATAATAATAGGTTAGATTTCAGTTGAAAGAGCTACTACAAGTGTTACATAATATACATAAGCTATTTCAATTAGTGATAGTTCAAATGGTTAAGTTGGACCTGTATTTGTTGTTAGTGAAACAATTCATTAAGAACTTAATGTTGATAAAAAGAGATTTACAGCTATCTAAACAATTTTGGATCCATAATTTTCTAATTATTAAATCAATTATAAGGAAGCATATATATTTTAAGAGGGAAATTACTATAATCTAACTTTTGATTATTAAATATAGAAAGGAGTTACAACAACTTTTGGTTTTATTTGGGAAGATTAAAATTTTAATCCAAATTCAGAATTTGATTTCTATATTAATTCTATAGCTGAACCAATTTCTAAATTACTTAGAAGAAGATAACTTGAAGTTTAATTAAAAAGAGAATAATTATAAGTAATGTATTAAGTTTAAAATTAAAAAACATTCAAATAATCACAAGAATTAAATAAAGAAAAGGATTGGACATATATGATAATAGCAATGACAGGTATTTTAGGAGTTTCTATTGTAATTTTGTTATGCACATTCATTAACAAAAAATGTTTTGATCAATCAAAAGGTGAAGGATAATAAAAAATTGAAGTTAAATATATTTGAGAATTAATTAGACTACTTGTCATTATTATTTATTCTATTTTAAAAAATTAAATATATATTAATAATGTATCTTTTTATTTCTAAAATAGAATAAGTTATATAAATTTAAATTCACTTATGTTAAATAATAATTTTATAGAATTTATTTTTTAATATTATTATATATTTTCACATTTTAATTACATTATAAATGTCAATCAGTATAACATTTAATGAATTTCTTTTGCTTGGCTTCTAATGTTTGCAGTTAATATCAGATCGACTGGAATAAGTACTAAAATCTATCTTAATGATTAAATTGTTTATTGCTATTTATATATCCATATAAAACTCAAAGTACAATATATTGCAAATAAACTGATTTATAATTAATATCATTATACCTTAATCCGAATCCATAATAATAAACTTGTATCACACTTATAATACCTTAACTGATATTTGCATTGTCTTGTTAAAATAAAACTAAAAATTATCTCATAGCTGTCTAGATATCAGTAAAATATTATAAGATAAAATTTTAAAATTATTATGATTATGCAGTGATTCTGCAATCTTCTAGATTTGTACTATATTTCAAGTTATTTATTTCATAATCATATTCTTAATTTATAAATTTAACAAATGCTGCTGTAAATCCAAGAGCACCATTTATAATTATATCCAAATATAGATCCTTCCTATTGTAAATCAAATAATTATTACTTATCATAAGCTAAGGATTGTTTTGATAAATCACAAACTGGAAGATTATCTAAATTAGTTGATAAACATAAATCATAATTTAGTACACCATCAAAAATACTGTTTTTATTATTGGCATTTGCATTTGTTAAAATAACATCAGCTATTTCATTTATTAATGGTAATAAATTATCTTTATATTAGATCAATAGAGATGTTGATAAAGTTTAATTAATGAAACTTAAATTATAATTTGGAATTAAAGGTTCTGTTTTTGTAAGACCTGCAATTAAAGCTAATGAATCCATGTTATGTCTAAATTATACAAATTTTAATGTAACAGTTAAAGATGGTTAGAAATTGTCATTATAAGACATATGTATAAGATATCCTGCCATTAAAAAGGCAGACCATGTTATAGCCAATAAAAATGTTATTATTACATTTGTTCTATTTAAATAATACGTTTTCTATATTCTAGAATATAAAGCACTAGTAGCTCGATAATTATTTTATGTAGATTAAATTGAAATTGATTACTTTAATTATACTTTTTTTGATTTCTTATCTGAAAATTCAAACATAATCTCTCCAAAATTAAATAGTTTCCATGTATTAGAACTTTCATTTTCTAACTATTCTTTTATCATAGAGAGCCTATTAATTTAATCTATTGATTAATTTTCATTTAAACGAGATACTAAAAATAATATAGATTTTGATATATGATCAATGAATAACCAATATTTTAATTAAAGTCCTATAAAAAATATTACTGAAAATAATTCAGCCATCATAACAGTCAAAAAATATGATCTTACTTAAGATTAAGTATCTATTGTATTTTACATTATTATCTAAATAAGTTGATTATGTAAATCTACCATTTACCATAAATTTACTCTAATTATTCCTGTTGTTAACATATCTGGATATAAGAATTATTATTTTCCCAAATTATTTCTATATGAAGTTTCAGCTGTTTAATAGATGACTTAATAAAAATCTTATAATGGAAGGTCTTGATATTTAATGACTCCATTTTCTATATACTTAAAATTGAATATTGTCTTGACATTCAAATCCTATGCTTATTTAGGTACTTAAATTGCTAAATTAATCATTTCCTATCTTGCATAATCATACATTTAACTTAACGTTTCTTCATTCCTTTAATTCATAAAAGGACTTAAGGAAAGTATTTTCATAGTTTAAATATATTGAGTCCATTCTTAATACATAGCTGAAGAATAAAAGTAATTAATATTTTGAGGTTTTCTCAGATTAACAACTTAATCCGTTTAAGATACTAAATTTGTTGATATCATTTAAACATTTATTATATCTACAGTCAAAATAGCTAGACATATTAATGATAGTATAAATGCTATTTTTTTAAGTGGAGTAATGAGTTGAGTATTATAATATAATTGTTAAACTATTAGTAAAGATTCCTTAGATGTTGAATTTGTAGAAGTTCTAGATGGATTAGATGCAAAATCAATAGCATTTTCTTTCTTTTACATCTAGGCTATTCTTAGTTTACCTAAGATGGAGTTCTTTTTTAGAGTTTAACTATTAGATTCAAATTTTTCATTAACTATTTCTTATTCATTTTCATCTAGTAATTCTAATTATCTTTCTTTTAATCCCTTAAATAATATGATTAAGATATACATGCATTTCATTTTCCAATTACTCAAATTCTTAATTACATAATTTATCTAATTGTCTAGGTTTAACATATAATGGTTATTAAACAATCATTTATCTACTTGAATCAAATATATTGGATCTATCAGATTATTTTACTTTAAAACTCATTTCGAATGATTTTGAATTATCTAAAATATTATTATTATTGATATCTTCATTATCATATTACTTGACAGATTTCATTTAATTCATCATTTTTATCTCTTAAATATTGCCATTTTAAGATTCATTAATTTCAACAACTTCACTTTTTGGGAATAAATCACTACTGTTCAAATCTTATGAAGGATATATACTTTATTATTAAGTGGTTTAAGATGGAACTGTAGTAAAATGTTAATTTATATTCTATAATTATAAATGTTTCATTTCTTTAATAGAAACCATAAAATAAGCATAAGTTCCTTTTTTATATTTCAATACTTTAAATGAAAGACTATAAAATAAACCTAATTACATAAATTATGATTAATTATCGAATTCTACCAATTTTTTAACAGATTCTTATACTTCTGGATGTAAAAGTATAATTGGAGTATTATCAATTAGAATTTATTTTCTAATTTCTAATGGAATTTCTTAATCATCATACATTTCTATATTAGTATTCACAGAATTTTAAGAATATCTAGAATATGTTTATGATTTATAAGATCTCAAGTTAAATTATGCTTAAGAACCATTACTCCTTCTTTTAAATTATGATAATATTAATTGTGAATTTAAAAGACAATCACTATGATTTGATGGAATAATCCAATAAGATCTTAGATTATTCATAAGGTAATTTGAAGATGAATTAATTTAAACTTTTAATTCTTCAACTTATTAAGTTATAGATGGTATATAATATTAAATTAATGGATATCTTGCTAAAAGTTCTTTGACTTCCATTTATTAAACAGTATTATCAGTACGTTTAGACATATGTGAACTTTCAATTTTGGTTTTAGATTTTAATGCTTCATCATAAAATTACTTAGTGAATCCAAGTATCTTTCCATCTACTCCAAATAATATTGTTTCATTATTAGATTATTCTTTAGTTAAAATCATATTTAACAAAAAGTCATTTTTATTTGAATCAAAATAATTATACAAATTTATACTACAAGGTTCTATATATCCTTATATATTTTAAAAGAATGTTGATTCTCCATGAACCATTAATTTTGAATGTCCATTTTATAAATAATTATCCATTAATTAATCATGAATACTTTATAAGAAATTAGGCATCAATTGATTACAGTGTTTAATTAATTTAACATTATCTTCAGATTCACCCAAAAATTATGATAATTATTTACTATTAGTATTTACTAATTCACCTCTTTTACGTACTAAACTTGATTTTAAGATTATTAATCTATCTTTAAAATAATTTATATATGTATACTTTATATAAGTTAAATGTTATCTAATGATTCATCTTATTTATATCTTTCACTTTTTAATAGATCATCTATAGCTTTCTCTAATTAAAAAGCTTAAAATGAATTAGAATAAATTCCAGTTTGATAGATTTATATGATTCTCATTGATAAAATATCCTATGTTGAAGATCCTTTTAATCTATTATTTATCATATCAAATCTATTTTCAAATTCTTTTTTACATCTAAGCATTTTAGAAGTTGTCTTTAATGCTTCATGTAAACAATGATCAATATCACTATAACCATTTATTAATTTATTCCAAAAATTGATTTTGCCATTTAAAGTTTCAATAATGAGAGGAAATAACATAGCTGCAGAATGTGAAGTATGAAATGCTGATTAAACATCTAATGAATTCAAATGTTCATTAGCATTTCTAATTGAATTCTTAATTTATGCTTCCTTTTAAAATTATTAAGTTCTTTTGTATAATTCCTATTATAAATTATGAGATGCTATTCTATAATAAATATCATCTGAAGTCATTAGAATCAATCTAATTAATGCCTTTAATGGAGCATGATTTGCTACATAAGAACAATAAAGTAAAATATAAAGTTAATTTCCATTTATGGATGTATTGGCCATTCTACGTAATAAACATTCAACCAATTAATGAGAATTCTTACATTTTTTACATATATGATTCTTTTTTATGACTGATAATATGATTTTTGATTTTGGTAAAGCACTCATTTCATTACTTTCTTCTAAAATCTATATATATTTGAAATTTATACTTAAAGTGTAACTAAATTTAATTATTCTTTCAAAGTTATATGAAAATTCATTATTCTATTCTGAATCTATATACACAAACATAATAAAAATGAGATAATTAAAAATAATTCATAAATACTAAAATTAAATGATATGGATATATTTAACCCAACTGCAACTGTCTCTACTAATATATATGAGAATTGATTTATTCTGTTAATTGAACTTATAACGTATATCAAACTTTTTATTAAGATCAATGCAAATCTCAATTCTGGTAGTATTTCTATTGTTTTTAAAACAATTGTAATTAATACCAAAACTTACATAATACCATTTAAAATAATGGAATAATCCAATGTTAAAATATAATTATCTTCCATTAATTTTTCACATCTTCCAAAATATATATGTATTGAATTTAAGATCAAAGTGAATATAATATTAAATGATCCTATTAATATCACTCCTATTCTGCTATCTGAATTACAAAGATCACTATTATTGCAAATCTCTTAATCATAAACAAACTTTAATGCTGAATAAATAATAGGAATTTGAAAGAGTAATTAGTAATATGTTAAAAATGAATGCAAGATGTATTACAATGTGATTGATTTATTCCTCACATAGTGAAAATAGGTTAACATCAGAATCAATAAAATATGAACAATAAAGAAAAGGGAAATTATTAGGATATGTTAAGCGGATGAAACAGAATCTATAATGAAGCAGTAACTTATAATACTTTAGATAGGGCTAATGAGCATATCAAATTTTATACTTCATTTCAGTTTTATAATTCAATTCAAAATTCTTTACCATTTCAAGTTCTTATGCTTTATTTATGACTGTGATTAGAACAATTATACTTTTGAGTTAAAGTTGTGTGGAAGCTGGATGTATTAATAGATTTATTAATTTGAATAGTTGTTCCATCCAATAATTTAAAATAAATTAAAATAGAAATTTCATACATCCTCATATATTAATTCTTGCATATCTATTCAATTGTGTTTGATTTAAATGGTTATATTTATAAAGAATAGAACATCAAAATATTGAATTCTTAATTAAGTATATTATTCAGTATATAAAATATAATAAATGTAAAATAAGGAGACTGCCTTTCTCAGTATTGAAAGTCCCATACACAGTTAAAATGTTTTATCTCCTCGATTTGATGATTTGATACCTATTTATTCTAATGAAAATGTAGTTGAATAATAAATGGACGAAGCATTAAAACTTAAGAGAAACATATTTGAAAAGAACAATTTTCGAGCATTAAATGACGGACATAAATCTAATAGTTCTAATGAGGATAACTCATTAAGTAGCTTTAAGTAAATCTTCTGTATTTTAAATTAATAGTGAAAACTTACGGGATGATGCATCTCCAAAATCAAGAACTCATTCCTTCATTCAATAATATAAGAGTCCAAGTGTTATTTATAAAGAATAATAAAATAACACTCCTAATCAAAAAGCACACTCTGGTTAAATGCTAGAATCTACTTATAATCTTCATTATTATGGAGGAAAGTCTAACTCAAAACTTGAAAAATATTAAAGTTTTGTCTAGTAATTTGAAATTTAAGAAGACAAAATATAGAAAATGAAAACTAGAGAAGCATAAAAAAATATGAGATTAAATGAGATTTAACCAAAAAGAGTATCAGGTAGAAGAGAGGGCACAATAGGGTATTTTTATAGGATGAAACATAGTTTAAATGAAATATGGTCATAAAAAGGTCTAATGATAATTCGATTAGTTTCTAGATTCATTTAATAATTAAAAACAAAAACAGAAACGATAAAATTTAGACTTTTGACATAAAAAATATTTTCTGTAATTGGAGATTTATCTAGTAACTTTGAATTTATTTTGGTTTCTCGTTAAATTAAATAAAAGCCAAGTTTAGTAATTTGTTATAAAATATTAGTTCCTTATTTTGAAATATAATTTTTAAAAATAAGCAACAAAATATTTGCATTATTTTGAAAGTTGCTAAGATTTTCTTAGTAGAAACATAATAGTTATAAAACCAGATAGCAAATTTAAAATAATATGGGATATACTTTTATTATTATTTATCGTAATGAACATTTTTTATATACCAATTAATATAAGTTTTGATATTACAACATCAGGGGCTTTTGAATATTTATTTGATTTATTACCATCATGGATATTTGTAGCAGAAATCATTTTAAATTTCAATACTGCTTATTATGATAAAGGTTTAATGCATGAAGATAGAAAATCTATTGTAAAGCATTATCTAAAAGAGAATTTTTTTTGGGATTTAATAGTTGTTATCCCTTTCTTAATGTCAAATCTAAATATCCCATTTGTTAGATACACTTTACTCTTTCGATTAACTAGATTAAATCCTTTAATGGAAAGCATAGAAGAAATGCTTAATTTAGAAGTATTATATATATATATATTAGGAAAATATTCAAATTTTTGTTGATCTTTTCAAACTTATCTTTTTTCTTGTTTTAACAGGTCATTTTTGTGGATGTGCTTGGCATTTTGTAGCTTTGACTGAACATGAATCATTTGGAGTAAATGAAACATGGTTAACTCATTATGATCCAGCTGCTTATGAATATCATTGGTTTGATAGATATATAATATCTTTGTATTGGAGTGTTATAACAACTGTGACAGTTGGATATGGAGATATAGTTCCAGTAACTACATTTGAAAGAATATTTGTTATTGTAGTAACATTATTACTTTGTGGAATATTTGGTTATTGCATATCAAATATAGGAAATATTTTTAAATCTATTTCAGATAAGAAAACAACATATAAGTTTAAACTTCGTTAAATTCATTAACATATCAGAAAAAGAGGATTAAATTTAAATTTATCATTAAAGGTTAATATTTTAATATATTTTTAAAAAGGTTAAAAAATACTTTGAGTATTATTTTAAATTAGAATAAGAAGAAGACAATCATGCAGATATCTTTTTATCATAACTTACAAAACATTTGAGAGAAGAAGTTTTAACGGATTTATATAGTAATACACTTAGAAAATCCAGACTCTTAAGAGATAATTTTAATGAAATTACTATCAATAATCTTTGTTAATTTGTTAAAGAGAAAAAGGTTTTACCAGAAGAAGTTCTATATTCTCGATATGATCAACCAAAAAAAATTTGGTTTGTACTTTCAGGTGCCTTGGAATATGTGGCTGATCATAAAAGTATTATTTAATTTACATTAATTTTTAGATGAAAATGATTATTATGAAGCAACAGAGACATTTTTAAAGAAAGTTAGTGCTGGGTAAATTATCAGTACTACTATATAGGGCAGTTTTAGGGGAAAGAGAATTCATTACTTAATAACCTTATGAGTATAAAGTAAGAGCGTTGAAATTTACTTAGATGGCTTATATAGAGTATAAAAATTAATAAATTAATTTAGTTATGATGATTTTATAAATGTAATTGCAGAGAATGATAAAGAATATGAAATATTTTGTATGAAAAGAGATAGATTATTATTGTATCCAGCATTTAAAGGATCAGGAAATGTATGTGAAATTTGTGAATGGACACATAATTTCATTTAGTATCAATTTTATTATTAATTATAGATGTCCATTTGTTTTTTTATAACCAAATACAAATAAAATTGCTAATAGATTTACTTCAGTTAAATTTAATAATAGAATTAAGTTTCCTTATCGTAATCCTAAAAAATTAAAAGCCAAAGAGATTTTAAATAAAATTTAAGAATGTGCTTTGAGAATAATTGTTGGAAATCTAACTGAATAGTAATCTTAAATAATGATTATTTTAGAGAATACACAGATGAATATTTAATTGCTTTAGGATTTTAATTGAGTCCAAATTAAGATGATATGTCATCAAAAGATAATGATTCTTCTTAAGACATTTATGATTCTAAATCTATTTCAAATAGTGAAAAATAAAATGCCATTTTTTCTAAGAATTTAAGGATGACAGCTGGAATAACTACAGATCTAAGAGAAAGTAGAGATTTAGATCTTGGAAATCAAATGAGAAAAAGTGTAATTAATTTTAAAAGAATATAATTTGGAAAAGAAAGAACTAGAGCAATTTAATTTTTAAAGAAAGATAATTAAAATTAAGAAAAAATTCCAGAAACATTAGAATAATCTTAAATGTTATCTATTCCTACTACTTAATTATAAAATAATCTATATATGAAATAAAATTAATAGAAACCAAGAAGATCATCTAATTTAGATGATTTTGGATTTGTATAAGTATCTCAGAAATTGGGAAATTTAGCTTAATAACTTGGTTAATAGGATTTTGAAAATCATTTATAATCTCTTAAGCAAATGAGTAAGAATAGTGAGGAAAGTGAAATTAAAGATTCTATTAAAATTAAAAGATAAATTGAGAGTCAAGAAAGAAAAGTTCAAATTGGTGGTGGTGATTAAAGAAGAAAAGTTAAGAAAACTACAATTTAAATGGGTTAAAGACCAAAAAGAAGATCATATTAAAATTAATAAACTAATAATTAAAGTCCTGTGTCTTAAAATTAATAATAAATATAATAAATAACCATTTCTTTAGATCAAAAAAAGAACAGAGCTAGTTTCATTGAGAATAGAAAGAATTAAGCATAAACAGCTAAATTAACAAGTTCTGGAATGATAGAATTAAAAGGAGATATAAAAGAAGGATCTTAAATTGATTCATTATAATAAAAGATTCTTGATATAGTACATACTAATATCAATCTTGAAATGGATATCTGCAAAACAACTTTGGTGTATTTTCCTGAATATAACATAGATGCAATACTGAAAAAGATAGAAATGTATTATTAATAGAATAAAATAAAGGAAAAAAAGTTGTATAAAAGGACTAAATCTAATAGAAATTTATTTGAAAGAATTAAAGCTTCAAAAAATGCAACAATAAAAAGTTTATAGAATAACTCTAAATCTTAAATAGATGTTTAAAAGCATGATGAAAATACTTGAATCTCTATATAATATTTTTGCTTAGTAGATTATACATCATTTCATTTTTTAAACTCTTACAGTATTATAAACTGATTGAACATTGCCTTCTTCTACATTTATACCAAAACTACTTTTTCTTTTCAAAACTGGTTTAGGCTAAAATTATTTTAAAATATAATTTACATTTATTAAATCTCCAGGTAAATAATCATTTAATTAACCTTATAATGACACTCTCTTTAGTCTTCCCAATCTTCTTTTCTAATATATAGGTTTATCATTTAATTTAATCCGAGATTCTTGGCTCTCCATACTTTTTAAGGAAATTGAATGTCTAATAGGTTCAGTATCTTTTATTGTTCTATCAGAAAAGTATTAATGTTCAGTGAGAATATTTTAAATCATCTATTATGTGTAACTTCTCCATACTCTGAATGTAGTCAAAGCAATTAACTAAAAGTAAAGAGGATTGCAATTTCCTTTTAATTTCAATTATGGACCTATATTACTTCTCCTAAATTTCTATCCTCTTCTATGATATGCTAATCTAAAATTCATAGTCCTATGATAATATGACATCTTTTCTGCAGCAATTTCTGAACATTAACCTAAAATTAATTTCTTGTATCTATGGAAAAATATTTCATATAATAATTAATTATAAGTAATTCTGTTTTCTTCATCACTTATTAAATTATACTACAAACTGAATTTAGCTGCATCCCATTAATTTTCATAAGACTTACAACCTAATGGTTCTTTTATTTCCATTAAAAGAAAAGGTAAGTTTTTAATATTTAAAAATTAGCCATGATTACAAGAAAACTTAAACCATGCTTTTCTAAATGTATCTATATTTTCTACATATGTCTATAAGATTGAATCCTGATTATTAAAAAATAATTCAAATTATTCAATCATTGCCAAAACAAAAAGATTTAAAAGTACATAATTAGAAATTAACATAAATAAAATAAAATATATTTACGAATAAGGAGATCCACAATATTTTGGATCTTCTTGACAATAAGGATTATGATGCATACAATCATTCATTATACTCCTAAAATCATCACCACTTACACATTTAAATAAAGTTAATATAGCTAACCAAAAATTATTAAAATTAATTAAATCATTTATTACCTCTCCTTTATCAATATGACCAAATAGCATTGTTCCATAAAATGCAAAAACAACCATTATTATTAATAAAATAAATAAAATTTTAAATAAAAAGGGAAAAGCAAATGAGATAACTCTTACTAATCTTTAAAGTTTTTAAAGTCCTTAGAACAGGATTATTACTCTCAAATTTCTTAACATAAACATGACTCTTAATAGTTAATAATAAGGAGTCAATTATGTAGAATTCACATATAATTAGAACCAATTCCAAATAAAATCTACTAGTAAATCAATAACACCTAAAATGATTACTACAGTTGTGTATAATCTCCATGGATTATCTTTAAATCTATTAATTCCTAGAGCTATAGCTTAGAGTAACAACCAAATAGCAAATACAATTGTACAAACATGATTAATGAGATTAATGATTTATTTATAATGAAAATCAGCAGAGTGATATATCATCATTATTGTTACACAATTTATAAGTAAAATAGAAAACATAAAGAAATCCATAAATTTACTAGTGATTATAGTAGCTAATATCTTTCTAATATATGATTTTGGTAATGAGGATCTAACTGGATGATCGAATAAAATTATTTCAGTAACTTTTTTGAATTCTAATTAAGCTTGAGTTAATTATTAATTCTCAATTTATTTAGAATTGGCTTTTAGATTTATAAATAGGACTCCAGTAAATAATTATAAAAAAAACATTGAGCCTATTGTGCAAAAGGCTATATAAAAGACATAAGTAGGTGCTTAACTATAATATGGATGAGGTCCATTATGAGATTCTCTACTATTTTATGATGCCCATAAGATTGCTCCCCATCCATCAAATGTGGATATAACAAAAAGGGCTGGCATAGCAGTTGTAATATTATCGAAATTATGTTTATATACTATCCATTATTTGCCTTATTATTAACATTCCTCAATTCCAATATCATAATTGAATTATTCTTCACAATAACCCAATTTATCTGCATAAAGCATCATCGAAAAAACAGCAAACATTAACCAAACTAACAATAAGACTACAAAAACATTTATAATATCAAATAAAGATTGAGTCAATGCTGCTCTTACTCTTGCCACCCATCTTATTCTATATAATAATTTTAAAGGTCTAAAGAATAAAAATGTTTCAATAACTTTAAATATAGGCAAATAACCAATTTTAAAAAATTGAACATAATAAATTACAATGTAAGTCAAGTCAATAATTTTCCATGTGTACTATTAATTTTAATTATAATTTTACATTCAAATATGATCCTTTATCTAAGAATACTCCATAAGCAATTGATTTGATTATGAACTCTATAAAAATAATAGAATTCAAGATAAATAATAAAGTAACAAGCAAAGGCTGTTTTTAAATATCTTTTGGTATAGCTAAGTATGTAATAGATAATAGTAAAGTTATGTCAATAAAATATTTAGTATAATCGCTTTAACTGACTTTGAAGAGTAATTTTCTAAAATTATTAGATTTATGGAAAATATAATAGGATTAGAGACAATCATTACCAGTATATAATTTAGGATTTTGTTTAAGAAGTTGTCTTTCAATTTATTCTATATTCTCTTATATTAATTTGATCTTTTTTGAATCTTACGCTTTTAAATGATTTATATTAATATTAGTTTTATTTTTCAATCTATTAAAGTCATCTTTGATCTTCTTTTTTTAATCATTAACCAAATCTGGTCTCCTATTTCTAGTTGGAGGAAATTAAAGAGAATGGAACAGTTTTTCTGTAAAACAACTATCTCTCTTTTACTAGTATTCTCTAACATTACTTGATGATGCTAATAGATTTTCTGGTGATGTGCTTTCTCTCCTTTAATTTCTATTACTATTAACAATAACATTATTAGCTAATTCTTTATATTATTTAATTGAAGAAGAACTAGAATTTGAACTTTCACTTTCAGAATCATCATCATCAGTTTAATCTGAATCTAATTATTTATTTAGTTTGTTTATCTACTTAATTTTTTCTTTCATAAATTCATTCTCTTCATTTGAAGATTCTCTTTCTAAATATTAACTAAACCCATCAAGTAATATTGCCATCATAATACCATAAATAAAATAATTTAAAGTAAATACTAAAGCAATCGAAAAAGTTACTGCTAATTCCGTTTAAACTTCAGTACCTATACGATAGACTCCAAACCAATCATCATTAGTCATAATATTAAAAACAGTCATAAATGCTTTAGCAGGATCATCAAAAGATTACATATATCCTTCTTTATGAAATTCATCAAATTTATTTGCAAATAATTCCATTCCTATCAATCCGAATGTTAAGATCATAAAAAACATTAAAAATGTTAAATATATATAAGATTTATAAGTAATTGAAGCTATTGCTCCAATTATTCTAGCCATCTAAATATAGAGTATACATCTATAAAATAAAAGACATTTTGTAGATCTCATTAATCGAAGATATTATTCACTTACATTCAAATAATTACTAAATCCAAATTCTATTAAACTAAGTACAACAATCAAAAGTTCAATTACATGATGTTTATTTTTTGCTATTCTTTCTAATATTTTATAATTAAATACTTGGTTAATACACAATTAATTGTAAAATTATTTCTGTTGATAAAACTACTGTAGCTATATCTTCCTCATTATCAATTATTCTTCTATTTATAGTACCTTATAGTGCCAAAAACAATGTATTTATTAAAATAGTTAAATCAAACAAAAATTTAGTTAATTTGAAATGTATAATTTAAAAAGCATATTTCCTAAAATTAAGTATAATACCACTTAAAGATTTTGGCCAAATTTCAATATCTTTTTGATTCAAACTTTTAAAGATATCATCAAATTTTTAAATTAATACATGAGAACTAATTAATACATTATTTCCAGACCAATTTTTTGCCTTTATTATTTTTTTTTCAAATTCCTTTCTCCTTAATTAAGTATACTCTTCCTAACCTCTTGGACCATCTTAATTTTTTTAATGAATATTAGCATTAATTCTTTTTTAAACATTTGAATAATCCAAATAAACACCATTTACAAGTATTCTCAATTCACCATTATTATATTAAGTAAAAGCCTTTTTTTCACTTTCCAAAGGGATAGAAAGTTATTTCATAAAATAAGGAAATTTTCTTCTTTCCTTTTCAGTCTCTTTCATCATTTAATAACCTTAAGTTAGATTATTTGAACTTGAACTAGATTTTGATCCATGTATATCAGAAGTGTTCATATTATCTTTTTTTATCCTTTAAGACATTTTTATTGGTAACATCATTTTTTTATTGTCATTTATCTATGAACTTGCTACTGTTAACTCTGATCTACTTGTTCTAGGATTCTATAAAATTTTATTTTTATTTTAGATTGGTTTATAATAAAATTTCTTTTTTTTTTATCCACTAAATGGTTTATTTTCTGTAGTTTTTAAAACTAAAAACATTGATTATCTAAGAATATCAATTTGACTAGTGGGTACATAATGAAAATTATAATCTATGTATTTTTCCAATAAAAAGGATGATTTACTAAATTATTTAATAATCATTTATTATTTAAAATCCTATGTAAATAATTTAAGATCTAAACTCATGTAAAATTTAGCAATATCATTTAATTTTGGTAGTAGAATATATTTCAATGAAAAGTTTTTTAAAGTATTTTTAAGTTAAGTAAAATTACTTTCACCAATCTTATATTAATTAATCATACTTCCTAATAATAATTTTGGTTATATATCCCAAGCTTAAGATAGTTTATTTATTCTTG